CCATTGTCATCTGGGGTATCAGGTTCAAGGACAGAGTACCCAGATTAATGAAGCCTGACACACAATGAGAATGCCAAGAGACTTACATGACTGATTCCATTCGCAAAGTCACACAAAAAATGATTCGGGCAGAATCAAAGCTAAAGGATTCGATTGCAATGAACGCCTAGCGCTGTTGTTCATTGAAATCCAGTCCATGCTGCGTGTCCGATTGGCAGAAAATCAAAACCGATGGAAAAACTCAAGCTGCTGCCCTAGCAATTGAACAGTAACAGCGGATAATGAAAATGGATAAATGGCATTCAAGTTATTACTAATTAAATTTTACACTTTTAAGTCCATGACCCAGTAGTTTGCGTTATCTAAAGCAAGAAGTAGCGAAATATAAGGCTAAACAAATTACCATTATTTCACAATCGCTGACCTTTCCGGGCGAATATGGATTCGCATCTGCGAAAGTACCAGCGATTATGTGCGAAGAAACCTGTGACGGTGGCGGCGGCTGTTGCTGTTGCATCGCCCGGGCTTTAGTTCCAATGACGATACTGCTACCAACCTTTGGTTTCGAGCCAGTTGGCGCTCCAAGAGACAACACAGCTGACGGCCTTACTGAAAAGTAAAGTTTTTGATGTTAAAAACCATGACTTAAAAAACAACGAAAGAAAACGTCGAAAAGTTCCCTCAAATGACAAGCCCACAGCTTCGCACAAAATAGGCGCCGCTGCCGTTGAAGCACTGAAAGAAAGACACAGCGATACGCTAGCCTCATGATTTAGTAGCTTATGAAACAACCTTAGAACGACACACACTAAACCTTTTGTTGGTTACAATGAAATCAGGCTTGAATCAAGCCCTGTTCCATCGTGAATTACAAGTGCGATCTCGCTGACAATCAAATTAATGAGCGTAAATAGCGGGAAGTTCAGTAACTCACCCTTTATCTCAAACACATAATGAGTATCATTCCATAGGCAAGAAACGACAATATATATGCAGTCGACACATAGCCATGGATAAAACATAAAACACCTTTAGCTGATAGAATTGATCATCGATGAACAGCGTGACAGCCCCAGCTACATGCATAAAGACTGCCACAGCTGGCTCAATGAAAGATATAGAAGAGACCAGTATTCCAAAGTTATTACTTCTCTTACCCCCTTCTGCTTCTGTATAATCATTCGCTTAAATTCAAAAGTTGCGCAACCCAATCTCGTGAGGTTCGATATAATCTAGTTCAAGCAATGGCAACATTTTAATTTAATCGCTATCATAATTTTATTATCATAAAAAAGGAAACATTACAGATGAATTCACGGTATGACTCCTATTAGTCCCAATTTTCATGAAATGAATTTCAACGAATAAAAGAAACCGAATTTTTGATACGCATAAAGAAAACTCAAACTGGCTTAAAAAAGTAGAAGCGCAAAACTTCGAAGGTCGTGGCTTACTTGCTGAGTCAGGTGTTGTACACATAGGCGGCGGTGGAGGAGGCGGAGTGAGCATGGTAAACGATGTGAGAGGGTTGCTGCTATTTCGACCGCTGATGAATGTGGCGGCGGCGCCTTCGCCGCCTTTGTTACGACCGTCCACTGTCGCCAACGGCGACGGAACGCAGCTAGGGGGCGTGGGCACGAAATCATCAGCGCTTTGACCTTCGTCAACACTGGATCGCGAGTGCTGACTTTTCGATCCCGTGTAGACCACCTGAGGCGTTCTAATGATTTGAGAAGAAAATCCACGAGGCGTCTGTGCGGCCAGATCGACGCTGGCTGATGACCGATGATGCTGGTTGCTCTTCAATGACCCCGAAGGAATTTGAGACACTAGAAACAGGCAAACAGTACATACCATTCTCCAAGAGCAAAACAGTGCAACGAAAATATTACCAGCCAACGAGTGGTATCGCGGAACGTCGGTAAACGTGGGACTCGGAGTTCGGTACTGTTTCAAATCTTGCAACGACGGCGCACCGCTGTAAGTTTGTTTCTGGTCGACGATGCGCATCTCGAATCCGTGGTCATGATGAATCCACAGATCAGGAGGAGGCTTGACGTCCCTCGGGATCTTCTTCTTTATACCAGCAGTGTAGCCTCGGCCACGTTTGCGCCTTTGCTTA